ACCCGCCCATCGGTCGATCTCGAAAGAGATGATCCACCTTGTGGATAGGTTTAGCGCCCACCACTGTTGACTCACAACCAGGTCTCGGACCTTGAGCGTCCAGTCGCTCGGCTGAGCGTTCAGCTTGGCTTGCTCCTGCATCTCGAGCACTTCCGCTCCGCGACCTGTGGCTCTGCCACATGCTGTTGATCAGCCATCTGTGGATCCCACCCACTTGCTGTCGTTCAGCCTCCCGTGGCTCTACCACTTGCTATCCTGCAGCTGTCCGTGGTCCAGCCACCGTTGGTGCCAACGCCTCCGCGCTCACCTGAGCAGGGTCTTGATATGGCTTAAGCAAGCCAACGTAGAAGACCGGATGCGTGCGCATCTTCTTCGGAAGGTTGAGCGTATACGCTAGGCCCTTCCTGGCCACGACCTTAAACGGTCCTATGAACCGAGGTCTTAACTTCGTTTTGAAGACTGCAGACACTGCATGAGTAGGTAGGTTTTTAGCGTTTAATAAAACTTGGTCTCCGACCTCAAACCTCTCAACATTGCTTCTGCCCTTGGCATCTGCATGTTCCTTTTGCGTGTCTTGGCTTTCAGCCATAGCGTCGCGTACTTGGCGCATTACGCTCAGTCTCAAAGAGACAAAGTCATCGACTTGCTTGCGAACCGCAACAGGGCTGACATCAGCTAGCCGCTCGGCTATCCCTCCCCCATCAATTCCTGAGCCACTGCGTGGCGGCGTCAGTGGGACGCGAGGGTTAACCAAGCCGTTCACATAGAACGGAGTGTAGCCTGTCAAGGCGTGCACTGCATTATTTAATGCGAACTCAACGAGTGGGAGCGTCTAGCTCCAGCGTTTTGGCGCCTCAGCGCATACGCTTCGGAGGGTATCCTCCCCAACGCGATTCACGCGTTCGGTTTGACCATCGGTCTGCGGATGGTTCGCTGTGGACATGTCGAAACGAGTGCCGAGCACGCTGAAGAGGGACGTCCAGAACTTCGCGGTGAAGCGCGGGTCTCGATCCGAGACAATTGCCTCACGCAAGCCATGTTGGCGAAAGACTCGGTCTAAAAACAGCAAAGCTGTACCTTCACCATCAATGGTGTCCGGCACTGCCGCTAAATGAGCCATCTTGCTCAATCGGTCTACAAAGACCACTATACCCGTGTTTCCCCGCCTTACCCTTGGGAAGGCCAAACACAAAGTCCATACTCATGGACTGCCAGCATCCCTTGGGGACAGGCAAACTCGCCGATGGCGCTGCCGTGCTCGGCGCGGACTTTGTTCGTTGACACGTCTCACACGTGCGTACATAGGTGCCGACCCACTTATACATCTTGGGCCACCAGTACATCGAGCTCACCGAGCCATAGGTCTTCTCCCGACCTAAGTGCCCGCCCACGGGCGTATCATGAACCTCGTAGAGGATTCGATACTTTAGATCCTCATCATGAGGAACGACTACACGAGGGTTATCCTCAGAGTCGGTGCTGTAGTACAGCAGACCGCCATCGAGTGAGTATCGATGCAGCCTCGCGCGTAAGCGCCCAGACAATTCCTTGTCACAGTCTTTAAACTCTTCGCTCCCAAGAGCCCGTAGCAGCACTACGCACTGTCGTCTTGTGCATACGCTCCGCGCATAAAGTCAGGCACTGACGACATCACCGTCGTGACATGGGCTAACTCGTAGTCCGCCCTGCGCGAGAACGCATCAGCCACAACATTTAAGCGACCCCGGCTTATACTTCACCTCAAAGTTATACTCGGGAAAGAAAGGAAAGCCATCTTGCCATTCTTCTGAAAAGAGATGAGGCGACTGGTGTCG